AAATTTATTAAAGTAAAAGTAAAAGGTTAATAGTAAACTTTTGCCGTGGTCTTGGAGGGAGAATAGTCGAGAGCATTTTTTTGTTCTTTTTAGCCCGGGCCCGTTTAGAGTTTTGCAAAGGCAGGTTTTTATCTTCAATAATAATAAACGGTGGGGCAAGGGCCTTTTACTTGGGCCTTCAGGGGCAAAACAAATAGGCCAATATAATTATATTAAAAATGGATTAATGTTTGAGTCCAAATTTGGCGGCCCATCATCATTTTTTCTCCTTCAATTCTTCAATTTTTATCTAGATGGCTTCCACCTGCAGACAAATTCTTGTCATATAAAAATTAAAATATTAGGACACATAAAATGTAATTTGAAAATATTATAAAAATTTTATTCATTATATAGATTATATATTTTTATTATTAAAATTTGAGTTATGACATACATATATATAAGTGAGTAGGAGACGAAAGGATATTCGGAAGGATTATTTAGTTTTTAATGTAATTTTTTATTTTTTTAAGATAATATATATTTCTCTTTTAAAATAAAAATAAAAATAAAAATATTTAATATCTAATCAATGCATTATAAGTTAAAATGAAACTTCTTAATTATTCATTAATATAAAATTTATCATTTTCTATTTTTAAGTAATAATAGCCTAATTAATTAACACGTTGTGCAAACAAAAAAAAATGGTTTGATGAATCAATTTCTTCACCTATGTTACGGTTTTTAAATTTTATTATATTTTATATAAATATATACTGTAATTAATATAAGGTAACATTATAAAAAAAATTAAAAAAATAAATATAATCTAATCTAATATTTTAAATAAATATATAACCTATTTATTGCATAAAGTAACGTTATATATATTTATGTGTGTATATATATATATATAACGAAGGACAAAGTTAATCTGTGTTAAAAAAACCACAAATTAAAAAACATTTTTTTTTTAAATCTTACCTGCACAAAATCGAACTTGTAGTTGAGGGTGAATCATGCAGACAACCGCCTGCGATGGTGCTGACAATGATGATGGTGGACGCAAACCCGATAAAATAATTAAATTGATTTTTTTATTAATAATTAATTAAATTATTTAATGATTAAGCC